AGTGTCTCAGACTGCTGCACAGTGGCAGGTTTGGAGGCCAAGCAGGACAGAAAGGGAAGAAGACCACAGATGCAGTTGAAGAGGTAGGTCATAAAGATTTAGGGTAGGGTGCAATTCCTCTTGCTAATAAGTGTAGTGACATTGACAATGTGCAGTCACAACGATAGAAATTCCAGTGGACAAATGTTGAAAGAGTACATTCCAACTTTTGTGTTTACGGGTTTCTGTGAGCTGAAATACGTGTTACATTTTTCCTCCAAAATCAATTATTTTGGAATTATATTATTGACAGAAAAATGCCCAGAATTTAGAGCCAATAATGGGTGTAAAATGTGGGATTCCTTCATGACAACATCATAAAGATTAGAACTTTCCCCAAAGCGTAATGTTTGGTCAGAGGTCTTGCATATTATAATAATTCTTGCATTTGATATAGCGCCTAATCACTTCATTGAGATGACTCAAAGAGCTTCCCAGAATATAATTGTAAAGTGGATTGATTGTTTATTTTGTGGGCAAAATGAGGCAGCTAATTGCGCACAGCAGTGTCCCACAAAAAAGTCATGGATTGAGTGACCACATTTATTTTTAGAAGGATTATTACCCTCAGACAGCAATCTACCAATCGACTAACAATGTGGATGCTACTTACTGCAAGGTAAACAGAGGCGTGGAGTAAGGAAACTTGCCTAAGGTTTTGCCCCGCCCGGGAATCGAACCCGGATCTTCTTGTTTGCGAGACGAGCTTGCTAACTACTATACTATGGGATTTTGTTTGCGGGTAAACACATTAATTACAGAACAGACATATGCTGAATGGATATCTTGTACCTCGTACTATACGCTACGAGAATATTGGTAGTGATGTAGCTTTAATTACTGGAAGGAGAATGACTTCCATTTAAAATTGCTAAACTTTACATCCAATGTTTTTCTAATCTTATGCCAATTTTATAACTCTGTCATATATAATAGAGCAATACTCAAGTGAAGGTGCTGACCCTTGAGTATTGTTCTTTATATTTATATTTTACTTTTGGACAGCCCAAGGTTCTCGTTTTTGTTCTCTGTAGTTGTAGCATAAATTATAAAACAGCCATGCAAGTTGATGAAGATGGTGTGCTCTCCAATCAAGGGCAAATCTTTGGAATAGTTTTATCATTTTCATCCCTACAAACTAACACTGAAAGAACTGTAGTGGAGATCTGGAGATTGTCTGAGTATTTGGCAACATTGCTCAATTTTGTCTCTGTTGTCTCAATAGCCCCAGGAATGGATAGTGTGTACCTGGTATAGATACAGCGATCCATTTAGTGCTAACAGGAGCATGTGATAGCATTTAACTATTGAAGTCTTCCCCTTGCCTAGACCAAGTAAGGTCTATTATTTTGTGAACCAATGGATCACAATACAGTCCTATTAGTAGAAGATCCTAATACTAACGAATCAATCCATTCTTCAAATTAAAACTATTTTCTCAGTTAGACCGCAGATTTGCATTTGGATTTCTTTCAGAGTGTACACAGAGACAGACGATTGAAACATTATGACTGACAAAATAACAAGTTGCATAAAAAGTTTACTTCCTCAAGGTTTCTATGCCCTTTCTGCAATTAATGTGTTTACACGTGTCAAGTTGTGCCTGTAGACTCCCTGCACCATGCTAGTCTTAAGCGATTGCTGTTTTCAACAACCTCCAAACCAGAGACCATTACAAATTGGAAAGATTTCTCCATTGCCACCGACTGCAGCCAACAGTTGCTAATTGTCTGAACAGATGTCCAAAGGCTCTACCAGTTGTTCAGAACAGCTAGGAACAGAACATCTTGCTGGGTGATCGGTGAGAGAGACTCTGGTTTCAGACATCCTCCTGAATCACTGACAGAATGCTTTGTAAGGATTTTCCTGGTAATTACATCAGTCAACAAGACAACATGCTGACCAATAGATTCCCCTGTTGTTTTTCTAAATTGCTGCGCGAGTGGTGATTTCAACTTCCCACCAGCACTCATTAATTCAAATTATTATCTGCATCATTCAGCCACAATCCCAGATGGATATTTTTGGCTATCTGATCAATTTCCTCCAGTATTGTTTCAATTATCTTTCTTTTTGTGGGGCACTTTATCCAATCTTTTTCAACTAACTGGAAGAGTGGACTGTTTTTCAGTGAAAAAATCCAATAACTACATGTAAGGAGACCTCTGTTGCACTGAATTGCCATGATCCTAAATGCAATGTATGGAGTTATCTGTATGCTTAGCCACTTCTCAGTCTTTTCTTTATAAATACTGTATTACGTTGAGCCAGCATGGAGAAGACACTTAGAGTTGAACTTCTCTTGAGACACTAAAATCAAGAATATGTTCAGCGTTATTGGGCAATTCAGCGGAATTTATTTCTCCCTCAATACAAAATTACCTAAAAAGATACACAGTTACTGCACTCTTCAGCAAATTCTGTGAAATCCTGTGAAGTGCTTTGAGAATCAGGTTTTTTCAGATGCATAAGGCACAATATAAAATGCAGGATTGTTTTTTATATACATGACTAGATCACATGGGGAAATTTGCGGTAAAGAAAACTCTTTGGTCCATTTTGATCTCATCCTTTCTGGATATCCAGCCAACGTGTGGTCACGCAAACAAAAGCACAACCACACGTTGTAGTCTAGAACTTTAAAGTTCTCGTGAATTATTTTGTTAATGCACAAACAACTAAACATAAAGTAATTGATAAGATTGAGTAATAATGGAGACATAAGTCGAATAGTCCCGATGTAGGGATTGAACCCACAAGGTTTTGACTCAGAGGCGAGAATGCAATCACTGAGGCAGGCTGACGCATCATTCAGAAGGAGAAGAATTTCACATCACCAATTTGATTGAGCTTCTAATAGAGATTCCAGAGTTTAAAGAATAGCAAAGCTCGGTTTGCCAATTTTGCCCCTTCTCTGCTGACAACACTGTCTCTTACTGGGGAACAGGTACCAGCCAACAGCTACGTGCCCTAGCAACATTCTTCATGTTTAAGCATCAGCCTATTTAACTGTGGATGGCACAATGGCTAAGCCAGATCAATGCCAGACATTCACCCATACTGCAATTGCCAGAATCGGTTCACTGTCTGAAAATTAGAAATGGGAGTCAAGCCTTTTTGTCTCCATCCTCAACAAGCTAGCACTAAGGCCAGTTGTACCAACTAAACTTGTTGAGTTCTTCTCCCTCAGCGCACAGCAGAAATTAAACCTGTGATCTTCCCATCTGTATGGCTCAGTGTTACACCAGACAAACACTCACACTTCTGTCTCACCACTCTAGAATCATATCAGTACTTCAGTATTTATGGCACCGAAATGTCTTACCTCTGCCGACTCAAAGTTACAAATTTCCACTGGTGTAGTCAGTGTGAGATTGCTGCTTTCCACGCTAAAATATTAAGGGAGCCAAAAGCAATGGGGTGAAAAGTGCAATGGTTCCTATCAGATTTAACATGTCACTGTATCTGTATGAAACATCAAATTTATCACCACAATGTAGAGGGTGCATCACCCAGTCTATATAACAGGGTTACTTCCACGTGATTTATATGATTGGGAGCCGAAGGGGTTAGGGAAGCCAAAGGTAACATTTCACCCACAAATATACAGTTAATTCACTTTACAGCATATTCTGTGAAGCGCTTTGAGATGTCTAGAAGACGTGAAAAGCGCTATATCAAATGCAAGGAATATTATTATTATATATCATTATAACAGAAAACACTGTCATAGAGGTGGGTCTTAAGCCAGATCTTGAACAACAACAAACAACAAATTACATTTGTATAGCACCTTTCATGTTAGGAAGACATCCCAAGGTGTTGGACAGTCAGGGATCAGCACCCGAGCTGCTAGTTGGGATCAGGAGGGGTGGAAGGCGGGGAGGGTAAGGGTAGGAAGGGTGACTGAAGGCACGGTCGAAGAGGCGGGTCTTGAGACTGGTCTCAACACAAGGTGAGGAATGGAGAGAGTAGGAGGGACTCCGAGATAAAATGCAACAACAACAACTTGCACTTATATAGCGCCCTCGACGTAGGGTGGCGTCTCAGTGCGCTACAGTGTGGAGCTTATCTTTGAGCCAGTGGGGGTAGGTGGCTATAAGCATGATTGAAGAGGAAGGTTGCGACTTGAAAAAGGGGAGAGAGGGGGCAGGGCGGAGCGATTGAGGGGGAATGTTCCAGAGCTTTGGGGCGTAGTGGCTGAAAGAGTGGTCTCCGATGGTGGGGTGGAGAATGCGAAGGACGAGAAGGAGGCCGGTGCCAGTCGAGCGGAGGATTGGATATTGAGAAAGTCAAAGAGGTAGGAAGGTGCCAGGGAGTGAATGGATTTGAACACGAGTGTGAGGATCTTGAAGTCAATCTGTTCAGTGGAGCCTGGCCAGAACTGGTGAGATGTGGGTGAGGAGTTTGGTCTGGGTCAGTATGTGGGGGCAGAGTTCTGAATGAGCTGGATCTTTTGAATGGTGGAACTGGGGAAACCAGCGAGGGGTGCATTTGAGTAATCCAAGCAGATGGTGACAAATGCATGCACGAGGGTTTCAGCTGCATTTGTGGTGAGGTACAGTCGGAGGCGGGCAATGTGGTGGAGGTGGAAGAAGGTGGTCCTGGTCAGGGACCGGATGTGGGGAAGGAAGGACAGCTGGGGGTTGAACCGGACGGTTGGTTGTGCACTGATTCGGTGAGTCTGAGAGAAAGCCCAGGGGAGGTTGAGTTTAGATCCGCAGGAGTGAAGATGTTGACGGGAGCCAAGGAGTATGGCTTCCGTCTTGTCCTTATTCAGCTGCAGGAAACTTACACTCATCCAGGCCCTGATGTCTGCCAGACAAACTGATAGAACATCTGCGGAACTGGAGTTGGTACTGGAGAAAGCAAAGTAGATTTGTGTGTCATCCGCAAACATGTGGAAGTTTACCCCGTATCTACGGATGGCATTCCCCAGAGGGAGCATATAGATAAAATACCTGAACAATGAGGGAGAGAACCACTCCAGCTGCTGTCCTCTTGGCAAACACGAGTCTTATTCCCAATCAGAGTGCGTCCTCCATTACACAAGTATCGAACAATTGAACCGAAGGTAAACTTGTCTCCAGACAGCAATCCATTGATAGGAACTCCTGGGTGACCACACGAAATAGCTGGAATGAAAGAGAAAGGTGTTTGGTTCATTATCAATCAAATACAGCAGGATAAAGGTACAACCTTTATTATACCCATTGGACTGATATGTACAAACTATCACAGATGATAGATCGTTGTGCCAAAATACATTCTACTTATCCCAACAAAGGAAGTATCCCAAAACCACCTATTTTCTCTGCTTTATTTTGCTCAGCCTGCAGCCACTAGGCAAAAGCACATCTCAAAATGTACCTGATTGAAAGCACTTTAATAATAATAATAATCCTTGCATTTGATATAGCGTCTCATCACATTGTTGAGGCATCTCAAAACGCTTCACCGGATATACTATATAGTGGATTGACTATATTTTGGGGGCAAAATGAGGCAGCCAGTTGCACACAACAATGTCCAACAAACAGCTATGGAGTCAGTGGCCAATTTTATTTTGTGGGACTGTTGGCCAGGACCAGTGACTGTTACATGATCCTACTGCTATACTACCAGAAGAGGCATGATTTGGCTTTGCCCTTCTCAGATCCCATCCTCAGGTCGGTAACATCCAGCATTGTCAAGCAGTTTGAGACATCCTCCTGATGTGAAAGCCACTATATAAATGTGAATTGTAAATAGTGACTTAATTCTCGTCTATGTGTAGTGGTACCAATGAAGCTCAGCTCCTTCTGTAGAGCTGTGATAGTAGATCTTTTACAACTCAATACATGAATTCTGCAGATGACTATTTTAAGAAATAGTAGCAGCCTGGCTCAGTAGGTAGCACTCTTGGATCTGAATCAGAAGGTTTGGGTACAAACTTCAAATCAGGACTTTTAAACTTATATAGTCTAATAATAATAATAAGTCTACGTCTAGGCTGATAATCCGATGCAGTTCTGGAGGTGTCCTGCATTTTTAGACACGCTATCCTTCGGATGAGATGCACTTTGCTATATCTTGACAATATGATGAGGCGCTATATAAAATGCAAGGATTATTAAACATATTGCGTATTGTTCCTATGTACAAAATAAATCAGTTCCCCATTGGCTCAGCCCTTAGCACAGTGACTGTTATGCAGCCCTGCTGCTGTACTACCAGAAAACATGATTTGGCTTTCACAATTTGCATACGTTCAGCTGTGTAGGAGGCAGAAACATATTTTAATATCTTTGTGAGAACAAGTGAATTTAGTCACAAATGTCATAATAACAATGTGCTACAAAAATTGTTATCTATTACAAAGTAGATGAAGTGATCACCATCAGGCAAGGCAAGATTGATGACAAAAGCAAGTGGAAAATGTGTTTCCGTTCCGGATGGGAACGTTTTCAATCTGATTTGAGACAGAATATAATGAGTTTGGTATACTGTTTTGCTGAATTGTTTGAGATGTAGGATATTTCTTTGTCAGTAAGCAGCCGTGGAATGCCGTCTCTTCGGTGTTGTCTAAACTTTTCTGACAATGGTTTTTGCCGCACATTCTCTCACAAGGAAGACATCCACTGCTGTCCTGACACTGCCTTGAATTCAAAGCTGGAAATGGTGTTTCCAGCTGAAATTGTAATAATACTCCTTGCATTCAATATAATACATTATCAATATACCAAATATATACAGATATTTATATATAATTGATGTAACATAATACGATATAGCACCTTATCATATCGTTGAGATGTCTCAAAGCACTTAACAGGCTATACTGGAAAGGGTTTGACTGTATTATTTTGTGGTGAAATGCAGCAGTTAATTACACACAGCAATGTCCACAAACAGTTTTTGGCCGGGACACCAGGAGAAATTCATTTCTCTTGTTGAATAATGCGATGAGATCTTTAACGTTCACCTAGGCAGACAGGACCTCAGTTTAACGTCTCATCTGAAGGACAATACCTCTGACAATGCTACACCCACCCCCAGCACTCCAATGCCTTGAACCCACAACTTTCTGACTCACGGGAGAAAGTGTTAGTACTGTGCCAGGCGGATATACAACGGAAACAGATTCTCAGCACCACTACATGAAATGAAATGCATATTATTCCACTCACCTATACAAAGCCTACTAAAAGTTATCTTTCCTCCGGCTTATCTTCAGCCCAAAGACCCACTGAATATTACCCAAATTCTGCACATTTCACCTCTCCCTGACTGCTGTGGTTCTAGTCACAACAGTGACATTTCACACATGTTCAGGTCATGCCCCAAAGCGAACCCTGTACACAATACGTGGGTTATGAAAAACATAAACGGCCTCCCAATTCCCTGCTGACCCAGGCCCATGTCTGATGGAAGAAGCCAGCGGAGAGCGAAGAGCTCCTGATACACATAGATAAGCACAACTTTCATTCCCAGGGAGCTGCAATCCCCTCCCACTCCCTGCAATATGGGAAAGTACAACTAGTTCCACCTCCCCTCCTTAAAAAAAATGTGGCTACACCATCTATGGGATATACTGGAATTAGATCGATGTAATGTAAGACATCCACTTTGAAAAGTGGGAAATATCAAGTTGTTCGAGCACCTGTTTGACTCTTCACTTTAGACATTGTTAGACTTTACCACCCTGAGCACAAGGAGCACCACATGAGAGAGAGAAAAAAAATTAATAACACCATCTTGACTAAGGTCGAACAAGGACAGTGATCCTAAATCCTGGGGCTGCTAGTCAGGTCAGGGTTTTTTTTTATCTCCAGTCCAATTACTACGCATTTCTTCCAGTGTCAGCAAAGCCATAGCAGTAAACTCACTTAGTGCGTCAATATACTTTCATACAAACACCACGCCATGAAATAGTATAATGACTTGTCAAAATATCTGCCTGCAAATAACCTTTTGACAATCTAATAAATCAAAGTACAGTATCTGGTTTTCAATAAGGCTTTTAATTGGCAGCATTTTGCACAAAATCTTTTTTTAATGGCCCACCCAAGCTTTTTTTTTGCAAACATGTTTTATTCAGCTTTTGTTTAAGGATTAAAAATATGTTAACACCAATGCCAGATATTTGCCCTGGTTTTGCTTTGTTACATTTTCATTAACTGGTGAACAGAGGAATTTTGGATCCCAGCTGATTTTAGCTGTGAGAGGGCTGATGTTGGTCAGTGAGTCGTCAACAACAACTTGCATTCATGTAACAGCTTCACATAGGATAAGGTCTCGGAATGCTTCACAGTGGCAAGCAAGGCAGTAACTAGAGGGCATTCATTTAAGATAATCCGCAAGGATTAAATTTCTATAGTTTCACCCACAAGATACAGTCAAGTCACTTTACAGCACATTCTGTGAAGCGCTTTGAGATGTCTTGACGATGTGATAAGGCGTTATATTAAATGTAAGGATTATTATTAGTAGTAGTATTATTATGGTTCCACAGAATAGTAGTTTCCATTAAAAGATGCTCAATATAATGAGACTTTATTACAGAGATCAGTCTTCCAATATCATATGTTAAACAATCATAACTGAATGTTGTGTGGACGGATCTTCTTTGTTTCCACATGTTTCTGCAAAATAGGAACAAACAGTTTTTCTGCTCTTCATAATAGTTATAACGCCTTATCACATCTTTGAGATATTTCAAAGTGGTTCACAGAATATATTATAAAGTGAATTGACTGTATATTTTGTGGGCAAAACAATTGGCACAGTAGTGTCCCACAAACAGTGATTATGCAGGAACTCATGCTATGGTAATCAGGCTCACAACACAGGTTTGGAGGCAGGTAACATCAAACCAAAACAGGAAATCTACAGAAGGTCAACAAGCAGCCAACAGATAAAAGCAAAACAATGTTTTGAGTGTTGCTTGTTACTGAACTGAACCAGCGACTAGAAGAGATGTTATATGAAACGGAAGACTGAATGTATGAGAGACAACTTTCCAGAGCAGCATGCTGAGGAACCAACTAGGGGACAGGCCATCCAAGACCTTGTTTTGTGTAACGAAACAGGGCTAGTTGGCAGTGTAGGTATAAAGAATCCTCTAGGGCAGAGTAATCACAATATGATTGAATTCTGCATTAAATTAGAGAGGGATATAGTTAAATCTGAGGCAAGTATTCTGAACGTAAATAGGGCTAATTTTGTTGGTATGAGGAAAGATTTAGGTAAAATAGACTGGAGAATAAGATTAAGAGGTAAAAATGTAGACCAACAGTGGCAAATATTTAAGGATGTAGTGCAAAATTCTCAGCGGTCACATATTCCCTTGCGGAAAGCAATTCATCCATGGCTAATTAGAGCAGTTAGGGAAAGCATCAAATTAAAAGAAAAAGCTTAAAAAACTGCCAAGAAAAACAGCAAATCTGAAGATTGGGAGAGTTTTAGAAACCAGCAAAAAAAAACTAAAAAACTAATTAAGAGCGAGAAAAAGGAGTATGAGAGTAAGTTAGCTAGGAACATTAAGTCAGATTGTAAAAGTTTTTACAAATATATTAAGAGGAATAGACTAGTGAGGGTAAATGTAGGTCCACTTCAGTCAGAGACGGGAGAAGTTGTAATGTGGAAAAAGGATATGGCAGAGTCCCTAAATGGGTACTTTGCATCTGTCTTCACCCTAGAAGACACAACAAGTCTGCCCACAATAGAGATGCACCAAGGGGATAAGGACAGGGAGCAACTTAGGGAAATTTTCATTAGTAGAGAATTGGTGCTAGGGAAACTGTTAGCACTAAAAAGTGACAAATCCCCTGGTCCGGATGGCTTGCATCCCAGGGTTTTAAAAGAGGTAGCTTATGAGATAGTGGAGGCCTTATGTCTGATCTGCCAAAATTCCTTGGATTCTGGAACAGTCCCCATGGATTGGAAGATCACAAATGTCACACCACTGTTTAAAAAAGGTGGAAAGGAAAAGATAGGGAACTGTAGGCCAGTTTGTCTCACATCAGTGATAGGAAAAATTTAGAATCATTGATTAAGGATGTGGCAGTGGGTTATTTAGGGGAGCACAATATAATTAGGCCAAGTCAACATGTCTTTACAAAAGGGAAGTCATGCTGACAAATCTCATAGAGTT